TTTCTGGTGCAGAATCTGGGTGAAACTGAGGCATGTTGTAGTTAAAAGGCCAAGATTACACGATTTAAAAGTAACTCTTCCTTTGTTTATATTCGCGTCCTTGTGTGTCTGTGGAGGTAGGAGCATGTGAGAGCAGGTGCCTGGGGAGCCCAGAGGTGTCAGGTGTCTTAAAGCTGTAGTTGTACAGAGGTGAGACTACTGATTTGGGAGCTGGCGATATGCGTTATAACCAATGAGCCATTTCTACAGCGCCTCATGAATCTGGAACTAGCTTACATAGTCCAGAGTAGATGTGAACTCCTAACATTCCTGATTCGGTTTCGTTCTACTCCCACCCTTTTCTGAGTGGCTTTTGGAATTAGATGCATCCTTGCATCCTTGAACGGTGTTGTACCACTGAACTCTATCCTAGTGCTTTCTAAATGTGTTTAATGTTTTTTTTTTTTTTTTTGGCTTGGTTTTTTTCTAGACAGCTTCTCTGCATAGCCTTGACTGTCCTCGAACTCACAGAGACAGGCCTGCCTCTGCTTCCCTGAGTGCTGGGATCAAAAGTGTATGACACTACTGCTTGGCAGCATATTTAACTTTTAAATTTTTGTTATTTGTGTCTTTTTGATGTGTGTGCGTGTGTGCACACATGCTCTCACATGTAGGCATGCACATGCCACGGTCCATGTGTGGGGGTAAGGAGATGACTTTCAGAGGTCAGTTCTCCATGGCCCTGGGACTTGAACTCAGATCCTCAGACTTGCAGTGAAACAAACCACTTTGACCTACTGAGCCGTCTTGGCAGCCCTTATCTTTTATTTTGAGATAGATTTTTCACTAAGTTAGTAAGGCCTTGAACTCATTTTGGCCAGCTTGGAACTTTTCATCTTCTTGGCAGTTGGGATTAAAGGCCTGCATCACTAGGCATGGCCTCTTTTTATTTTTTATTTTATTTTATTTTTTCTTTGTGGAGAGGATAATGTATTACAGACCATCTTGTGCAAAAGCAAGAATAGAGGTTGCTGAGTTTTACTTGAATTTCTGTTTCTGTTTTAATTCCCTTTTTAAATGTATAATTTCTGTAAATATTTCACATGGAGAAAGTGCCAAGGATCCTAAGAAACTAATTTTAAATGAAGTGAAAGCAATTCTGAAATTTGCTTTTCTGTAGCCTGACAGATGGACACCTCCCGCACTGGGATTCTCTTCCCCTCTCTTCCATTTTTATGAATGACAGAAGGAAGAAATTATTCAGCCACACACTTGGAATCCTCGTGTCTTTGTTATGTGAAATACAGTTTTGTCACAGAATTTTAGTACTCTCTGATCATCTACTTATATGTAAGGATGGACCTTAGGATTTGGGGCTGCTCCTTCTGGACATCACATCAGATTTCCAACTCAGTCTCTTTGTGTGTGTATATGTGTATCTGTGTCTATGTGTCTGTGTGTGTAACTGAAGGGTACAGAAACCTGGACATGATGGTGAAGCTCTGTAATCCCAGCTACTTGGCCTGGGATCCTGAGGCAGGATAATTCAAAACTCAAGGTTTCAGTGAGACCCTGGCTCAAAATAGAAAGCAGAAAACAGATTGAGGTATATTCTTGTTTATCATGCCCAGGCCCTAAATGCATTACCCAGGATCCCTCACCACATACAAACAAGAACTGGTAGAAATCATTATTTGGGAAAACAAGGCAGGACTATTAAGAGTATGAGGCCAACCTTGGCCATACAGTGAGACTTTATTTCAAAAACAAAAACAAAACAACATTATCCAAAAGGGGGCAACCAGTTGGTGGTGGCTCAATGCCTTTAATCCCAGCACTCAGGAGACAGAGACAGGTGGAGCTCTTGAGTTTGAGGCCAGCCTACAGAGTGAGTTCCAGGACAGCCAGGGCTACAAGGGGAAACCCTGTGTGGGAAAAGAAAGAAAGGACATTTCCCCTCTGAAATGCCCTCTGCCATCTCATTTTTGTCTTTCCATGTCCCACACTTTTGAGATAGGGTTTCTCCGTGTAGCCCTGGCTGTCCTGGAACCCGAACTGTAGACCAAGCTGGCCTTGAACTTAGGTATCCACCTGTCTTGTCTCTGCCTCCTGAGTACTGGGTTGCTTATTTTTATTTTATGTGTGTGAGTGTTTAGCCTGCATGTATGTTAAGTGCATTCCTTGCGTGTCTCGTGCCCTCAGAGGACAGAAGGGGGCACCCCGAAACTTGAAACTGGAACTAGGGAAGGTTGTGAGTCGCCCAATGAGGATGCTGGTAACCAAATCCCAAATCCCAACTGCAAGAGCAGCAAGTCCTCATGACCCCTGAGCCATCTCTCCAGCCCCACTACAGGACAATCTTTTTAAATAATACTTGGAGGCCAGCTCAACGGCTCCGAGCTTAAAGGTACCCCCCCCCCCCCCAAGCCTGAATTTCATCCTGGTAGGAGAGAACTGACTTCCACAAGGTGTCCTCTTACTGCACATGTGTGCCAGGGTACATGTCCCCGTATTCACACAGACACACACACACACACACACACACATGCCAAATCAATTTTTTTGTTGTTGTTGGTTTTTTGAGACAGGGTTTCTCTGTCCTGGACTCGATTTATAGACTAGGCTGGCCTCGAACTCATAGAAATCTGCCTGCCTCTGCCTTCCAGAGTGTTGGGATTACAGGTGTGTAACCATGCCAGGCTTAAATGAAACAATTTTTAAAAGTGCTTTTACAGGTCACAGTGGTATCACAAGCAGGTGGAGGTTTGTAGGTCTGAGGCTTGCCTGGTTATATGGAGAGTTCCCTGTCAGCCAGAACTAAAAAGTGAGACCCTTCAAGAAAACAAAAACCTCGGGGGCTGGTGAGGAAGAGTATCATCAGGACCTCCAAAACCAAGTTCTCATCACAAAGGAGATTTATTTGCTCCCGAGGGACAGAGGGCAGGGATAAGAAACAAAGACAGGAAGAAGGGGAAGGGAACAAAGGAGATGGGAGAAAAGAAGCAAAGGAGGGGGTAAAGGACTGTTCTGAGTGGGAGAAAGGATGATCTTTGGATAGAGAGGAAACAGAGGTGGCACGTAGAAAAACAGCAATTTATAAAGGGAAAATGGGAAAACCCATGTTCGGATGAGGGTGTTTAATTTTAATTGGGCATGTTAATTAGGTGAGCCAAAGGGGACTTCTGATTTCTTGACTTCAATATTTTGATAGCTAGACCTTGGTAGTCAGCCTCAGGAGGAGGAAGTGGCCAGATAAGGGAATACACTTTAGGGGCTAGTTTTAGGAATATAATCTAAGGGTTTTTAGCAAGGCAGAGGGAATGGAAGAAAAGGGCGAAACCTGCCAGAGCTGTGTCTGACATGCTCAAGCTGGCCAGAGTCAGGTGAGCTAGCTCAGCGATCAAGAGCACTATCTGCTCTTCCAGAGGATCTGGGTTCGAACCCACATCGTGCTGTAACTCCAGTGCCAGGGGTCCAATGCCCTCTTCTGGGGTCTAGAGGCATCAGGTACAAATATGGTGCACAAGACATACAAGTCGGTAAAATACCTATATAAAAAGGAAATACCAAACAAACATAGAACTGAGAAATTATACTCCCAAATCTCCATGCCACTTTAAACTGTGATTCCTTTCATACTAAACAATATCTGATATACTATATAATAATAAAGAAACAGAGAGTTTCAAGTATGAATCTGATTCCTATTCTATTTGGGGGGGGGGGGGGCGGGCAGGGTCTCGCCTTCTATGGCCAGCTGACCTGAAACTTAGAAAGATCTATCTGCCTCTGCCTCAAGATGTATTTTTACTATTTATAAATTATTTGTATATGTGTGTAACTGTGTGTAGGTTTGTGCATATGAGTGCAGGTACCTTTACAGACTGACTGGGCATTGGATCCCCTGGAGCTGGAGTTCCAGGTGGTTGTGAGCTGGCTAAATCAGTAATGGAATTCCGGTCCTCTGGAAGAACAGTGCAGTTTCCTAACCACTGAGGCACCACTCTAGCCTCTGAGCCAGGTATGTTTATTCTTTTTTCCCCCATGATACTGGGGATCAAATCAGAGCTTTGCCCATGCAAGGACCCCTCCCACTAAGCTATACTGTCTGCTTTTATTCTCTTTCTCTCTTATATGAGATACGGTCTTACTATGTAGCACAGGCTACTGTCACATTCCGTATTTCCTGTTTTTGTTTCTTGAGTATTAGGACCACACGAATGTTCTACTCTGGCTCTCATTTGTACACAAGTGCTAAAATTCTACTCATCACTTGAGGGAGTAGCTCAGAGGTGGATAACTGAATTGGGAGCCCTGGATTTGATCCCCAACATCATTAAAAAAAAAAAAATCCACTGCTCTTCTGTATGTCAAATGGCAGCCTTTCTTTCTTTCTTTCTTTCTTTCTTTCTTTCTTTCTTTCTTTCTTTTTCTTTTTGAGACAAGGTTTCTCTGTGTATCGAACCCTGGCTGTCCTGGGCTCACTTTGTAGACCAGGCTGAACTGGAACTCACAAAGATCTGCCTGCCTCTGCCTCCTGGGATTAAAGGCATTTGCCATCATGCTAGGCAAATGGCAGCATCTCTAAAAGCACCAAACCTCTGCTTGACAAGCATCTCCTTACTTAACTGTATTATGTTGTTTCTTTCTTATTGATTTTTACATATGAATGTGACATGCATACATGTATGAATGTTTCCACACATATGTGCAAGTGTGTATGGAGGTATATATATATATACCAGCACTTAGGAAGAGACTAGAAGATCTGTGAATTTGAAGCCAGCTTGGTCCACATAATGAGTTCTGGTCTAATTAGGCTACACAATGAAACACTGTCTCAGAAAGAAGGAAGGGAGGAGGGAGGGAAAAGAAATGAAGGAGGAAAAGGGAGAGAGGAAAAAAGCATTGGTAGGAACAAGTCTTAACAGCGGTCCCTCACCCTAAAACCCGGATGTAGGTGAAAACTACACTTCCCAGAATGCATCACCTCCACGGGGCGACTATATAAATAGTTCATCCGGGTTCTTGGAGATGCTGTTTGGCGACTTGTCGCCATTCCCGGAGCACCTCGGCCTCGGCCCAGAGGCTAGTGTTGGTCGCTGTGTCGGAGACCCCGGTCCCCGGCACCGAGACAGCCAGCCCTCTCTCCTGCCCCGCGGCGGGAGAGCGTGTCCGGCCGGCCGGCGGGGCTCGCGACCCTCCCGCGCCTTCCCTTCCCCCGCAGCCTCCGCCCCGCCAGGCCCGGCCCGGACCTCCGAGCCTCGGCCTCCTCCTCCTCCTCCTCGGTCACCGCCGCCGCTGGGCCCCACAGCCCCACCTGCCGTTTCTTCTTCCATTTTGAGAAGCTGAGGAAGGAAACAAGGAAAAATGTCGCCATGAAGGCCGAGAACCGCTGCCGCCGCCGACCCCCGCCGGCCCTGAACGCCATGAGCCTGGGTCCCCGCCGCGCCCGCTCCGCTCCGACCGCCGTCGCCGCCGAGGCCCCCTTTGATGCCGCAGAGCTCCCCCAGCGCCGCCGCTACCGCCTCCGACATGGACAAGAACAGCGGCTCCAACAGCTCCTCCGCCTCCTCGGGCAGCAGCAAAGGGCAACAGCCGCCCCGCTCCGCCTCGGCGGGGCCGGCCGGCGAGTCTAAACCCAAGAGCGGTAAGGGTCACCTGGGGGACGGACGACCCTCCCTCCCCTTGCCCTGACACCCAGTATTTACGATTGAGCTGATCTGCGCTGCGTGGTTAATTTAGGCCCTTGCATTCATAGTCAAAACAGCTGGTTGAAATAGGCGCTATTCTTAGTCCCATTTTGCAGATGAGGAATCTGAGATTTGGAAAGGGTTAAGGTCATCCAGGTGACAAGTACCTCACAGCAGGCCTCAAGGTCTGGTTTGTGTGACTCATCAGTCCACACACTAAAAACAATGAGTTTGTTTTATCTTTTCATGTTGGATTAGCCTTGGGTAAGCCGTTCAAGTTTAAATAAGAGAGGGTGAGGTCCAAGATTTTTCAGACTGAAATCTGGCACCAGATCTGCCCCTCTGTTTAAGAGGACTCATCTTGGAATGGCGTTCTCGTAAGGCGTGCAGCCCCCCCCCCTTTCTTTTAGGTCCGGTTCTTGAGTTTGCTGTACCTGTAAAATTATACACTGAGTAAATGAGCTCAGTGCTCAGATTTCGTCACGGCTATTTTCACCAAAAATATGCCTATTTGTTTATGGTAGGTTATAGGTGTTTTGCATTGGTGGGGGGGATGTCATGTGTGTGCTAAGACTTTGTAGTATTGCTATAACATAATGATAATAGCTACTACTTATCGATTACATACAGAGTACAGGGCTAAACATTTATGTGTGTCATAACTGATCATTTATCCTGTCTAGCAAGGTGGAGTTGTTCCTTCTTAGAGAATAAACTGAGGCTGTAGATTGTCAGGAATTGGCAGAATCCCGAGTCCAGCATTCTCCATCCTGTTTCAGAGCTGTGTACAAACCCTTGTTCTTTTTTATACTTTGATCATATTGGCAGTAATAGCAATGTGGGGTTTTTGTGTGTTTGCTTTTTTTTTTTTTTTTTTGAGATTGTAATTTAATTACAGTGTTTCTCTCCCCCCCCTTTCCTCCCTCCAAATCTCCCAATATAACCCTTCCTCTTATCTCCTTCAAATTCATGTCTTTTTTGTTTTTTGCATGCATGTATGTATTTGTATATACATATCAACCGATGTGCCAAACTAGATGGGGGGAAAAAGCCCAACTGGCTTCAACCCTACACAAAGAACTACAGACAACTTAGTAAAGCTGGGAGTGGGAGAGGTCTTCCCCAGGGAAGAGCACACTAATTGGTTTTCCAGTGCCAAACCATGAGCCCTGGAAAACATACATCCAAGTGAGTTTATATAAAATCAGTAGTGCGATTTTGTGAGAGTGGGCATGTGTGTAGGACAGATGGGGTACTTTGGGTATAACAGTCTAAGTGGAGGGTTGGGTCAGTGGTGGAGCACCTGCCTAGAATATGCAGGGCCCTGGGTTTGATCCTTAGCCCTGTCCCCCAAATTGAGAGTAAAAGCATTGGAAAAGAAAACCCACCAAAATTATAATGCTTACTGACTTTGCAAGGTATGACAAACTCCATTTCCAAGTTCTCCTGAGGACTTGTAGAAATTGCCTGTGATTTATATACTAAAGCTTTACTCTCTAAGCAGGTATTAGTGTAATGTCAGGCCAAGTCTGAAATTATGTAAACTAATTTTGGAGTTGTGCACATGTGTAGCTTTATCGTAAACCTTTCTTCTTGGCTGTTAGAATTGGTTTAGAAAGCTCTAGTGTTTCTCAAAGTAATTGCTTGTAGATGTAATGTTAAACTTTGGTTCTCCAAGAATTCTCAACTAATTTTTTAGGGTTCTACTTAAGTCACTAAAATACATTCATGCATGAGTCAGCTGCAGTAAGTGCTTTATTAGTTGGTGAGCAGTAGGCCAAAGCGTGTGACAGACCAAACAAAGTAACAGGGAAAGAGAGAGGGCTCAGTGGGGTGGCTTAGCAGTTAAAGCACTTGCTTTTACCTTTACAGGCCCGCTCTAGAGGTGGAAAGAATTGATTCCACACTCTTCCACTCATACATTCTGGACACAGGTGATAATGATACATTTTAAAAAATTAAAGAACAAGAGAGCCGATGTGTTTAAGGCATTTTGCCTCATCCTTGGCTTCGACATTAGTTCCTGGGAGAGTGGAATGTTGGAATTACCTAACATTGTGGTATCCAGTATTATTATAGATTGACCAAAGCAAACAGCTGTTAATGTTAAGTCAGTCAGTTTCCTGTTATTTTTTATCTTTTTATTATTTATTAGTATTGTGTGTGTGAGAGAGACATTTGTTTGGCTGGAACTTACAGAGATCTGCTTGCTTCTGCCTCCTGAGTGCTCAGCTTTTCTATTCTTTAAAGGATAGGTTCCAGGGATCAAACTTAGCTTTCCACAGGCATGTTCAGTGGGTACTTGTAACCACTGAAATACCTCGCTGGCCCTTTTCTTTAAACATTTTTTTCCTCTATGTATTTATTTGGGATGAGTGGTCAGGCATGATGGCAAGCACCTTGACCAGCTGGAATTAAAGGCAAGCACCTATTAGGGCCCTGGTTTTTGATCCTCAGAAACACATCAAAAATCTTAAAAAACAGAAATCTGAGTGAAGCAGGAGCTGGAGAGAGAGTTGAGTGGGTGCTTGTTGCTCCTACAACCCCACGGTGCTATGGAATCTACCACTGTCTTCTGCCTCCACAGTCATAAATAAATATACAAGTATACAGCCAAACTTGTAAGCAAAAGCACCCATCCACATAAAAAATAAGCTGGGCTGTGGTGGGCACACCTTTAATCCCAGCAGGTGGGAGGCAGAGGCAGGCAGCCTGGTCTACAGAGCAAGTTCTGGGACCCCCAGGGCTACACACAGAGACCTTGTCTAGGAAAAAAAAAAAAAGAAAGAAAGAAAAGGCTCTAATTGAAGGTGAGTGTGTTGGGCATAGCCTGTAATCCCAGCACTCACTGGCTGAAGCAGAGGGTCATGAGTCTGGTGCTACCCTGGGCCAATGAGCAAGTTTCAGGGCAGCCTGGTTACATAGAAATACCCTGTGGCTGTTCAAGATGAGGAACCATTGCAGCTGAGAACACTGCTGCTGAAGCAGATGTTCACAACTCTATACAGTGAGGGTACTTTGAGATGTGCATTCATCAATGGGACGTTTTAGGAGTATTTCAAAGGCTGATTCAGCACTGGGTACCCTCACTTCTGTTGAATATTTAAAAGACCTTGAATTTCAGAGTCCTGACTTGGAAGAATAAGAGTGTGAAGTGATTCACTTTCACTTTCTTTCGAAAGCGTGGAGAAAAAACCCTCAAAACTTACTTGGTTTCTAGAGACAGTCTTATGTCTCTAGAACCAAATCCCATTCTGCCTTGAACTCCCTGATGCTCCCCTGCCTCCACCTTCCAAGTGCTAGGAATATGTGTTTGTATCACTACCACTGGGCAGATCTCTGAGTTTGAGGCCAGCTTGGTCTACATAGTGAATTCCAGGACAGCTAAGGCTACACACAGAAACCGTGTCTCAGAAAGGAAGAAAAAAGGAAGGAAGGAAGAAAGGAAAAGAGCGAGGGAACAGAGAAAGTAAATATTTAGAGACAAGAAAGGTCAGGGATTTGTAGGCATCTAGACTGTGTACCCTGTCCAAGAACCCTGCTTTTGTTCCTCCCTCCTAAAGCGGAAGGTGTTGCCCTGGAGGTTAGGGGAAGGTCAGGTATTATGAAGCAGTTATTTTGAGGTTGGTAGTGTGAAACACTTTGCTGGCATTGTTCCTTTCATCCGTAATCAGAAGCAGGAGTGGGGGTGGGGTGTTACTGGGTAATCTGACTTGAGTATCTTTGCCCCCTCACAGCTGGGGTTAAAGGTGTGTGTGCTAGACACTCAGCCTGTGTGAGTGCTGGCACCTCAACTCCAGGACTCAACCTCAGAGCCTTCTCCTCAGCCTCCACGGGTGCTGTTGAGAACAGTGGTGTCTATTAATAGTAGACTTTTCTACATAGCAACTACTATAGAAAATGTTTTCAATTTTATCTCAATTCTTTTTTCTTTGTTTGTTTTGTTTTCATTTTTGTTTCTCTATGTAGCCTTGGCTGTCCTAGACTCACTTTGCAGACAAGGCTGGCCTCAAACTCTCAGAGATCCTCCTGCCTTTGCCTCCCTAAGTGCTGAGATCACATGCAGCACCATTGTGGCCTACAGAAATGTTGATGATTTTAAGCATCTGAGAAAAAATTGTGACTCTGATTTGGTAATGGAGCAGAGAGAGATGGAGGTAGATCTGTTTTTATTTGGCAGAGACTTTTCCATTTGGGAAATAATGAAACAACTAAGGCACTGGATTAACATTTTAGGCTTCTTGTTTGTTGGTTCTGAGATCTTAGGTTCTGGATTTGAACCATCCTATTAATTTTGTCAGTGCAGGACTCTTTTTGAGACAGGGTTTCTCTCTTTAGTCTTGGCTGTCCTGGACTCACTTTGTAGACCAGGCTGGTCTTGAACTCACAGAGGTCCACCTGCCTCTGCCTCCCTGAGTGCTGAGATTACAGATGTGCACCACCATGCCTGGTTTAGGACTATGTCTTGATGGTATTTCTTAGCAGTTCTCAGCTATGGCTGTATGTCAGTTCTCAGCTCTGGCTGTATGTCAGACTCTCCTGAGGACCTTTACACAAGTAAGGGTGTGAGGCCTTTTCCTTCCAGTTCCTTCAGGTTCATTCCCCAACTCCCAAGAGTCTTGCTTTTTAATCCTGGCTAGCCTCAAATGCTTCAGAAGTTCTGTAATCTCCTGAAGATCAGGAGTAAAGATTGAACTACCTTGCTTAATTTTTTTTCCTGGGCATTCCTTCTTTATTTATTTTTATTTTATTCACTAATCTTTATTTATTTATTTATTTACTTATCCACTCATTCATTTATTTATTTATTTATTTATTTATTTATTTATTTATTTATTTATT